TACGGGTATCCGAGTGCGTAAATGTTTCAGAGTTGGACGACATCGATTTGCTGTGGTGTTTCCCTCCTTCGGTTTTTCCCAGAGAAAAAAATAATTCGGAAATCTCGCGGACAAACCTAGGATGTCGGAAACTTACAGCTTCTCATAGATCACAACATACAGGCACAACAAACGGCACAAATCCTAATAATGAATGTAACATTATAATAATAATAAAAATAATAATAATAATTATAATAATAAAAATAGCAATTTCTTTGTGTCTTCTATTACTTTGCTCTGTGATAGACGCTAGAGACGAAAAGGTGAACGGGGAAACGTGGGTTAAAAAAATAAAAAGAATGAAGCAATATTTTCACCTCCACGATCTTCTCAACACGAGACATAATTTTACATGTACTTGTTGAAATCTTATACTGTCTTGATCCGAAATTCGTTTTCGTTAGTTTTTGGGGGAAGCCTGTTTTAATGAACCCTCATCAATACAATATCCGACATTCGATTACATTTCTGTCGGTTTTACTTATTGGGCGACACCGTCATGTAAGTGTCATGAACGACAATGACGTGTGACGATGGAATTATGTAAAAATATCAAAGTTGGTTAAAGTAGACACAGAGATAGAATAAAAATAACAGGATGTGTGAGGAAAAGTGAAAAACAAGAGATTGATGAATGTGTGTGTGTATGAGATATATATATATATATATATATATATATATAGAGAGAGAGAAAGATATATATATATATATATATATATATATATATATACATACATAGAAAGAGAGAGAAAGATATATATATATAGAGAGAGAGAGAAAGAAAGAGATAGAATAGTGAAAGAGAAAAATATGTATACACAGACATATATATATATACATATGTACATGTATGCATGTATATATAGAAAGATATATAGAAAGATATATATATATAGAGAGAGAGAGAGGAGAGAGAGATGTATATATACAGGAGGGAAAATACAAAGACAGAAAAAGAAAGAGAGAAAGAGAGAGAGAGATAAAAATTATATATAAAAAGAAAAAAGATATATATATATAGAGAGAGAGAGATAATCTCTCTTCTTCTCTCTATCTCTCTATAGAGAAAAGAATATATATATATATATATATGTGTGTATATATATATATATATATATATATATATATATATATATATAAAGAGAGAGAGAGAGAGAGACTAATAAACTAGGATTATAACCACACAAATCTATATATAAATGTTTTCCAAATAAAATTTAAGAAAATAAGAAACTATTAAGAGAGAATGAGAGATGAAATGAGAAATAATCAAAAAGATTGAGAGAAAGTGATAAATAAGAAGTACTGTAAAAAAACAAATGAAGATATATATATATGTATATATATATATACACAGAGTGCGAGTTGAGTGTGGAAGAGAAATAAGAATGAGAGGGGGTCGGGTGTGAGACTGCTTTCTTACAAACGGCACGAGAATTTCCCTCCCACGCATTGAGTTCCGTCGCGTGAAAATTCGTAGACACGACTACTATTTCTACTACTACCACCACCACCACCACTGCTACAACTACTACTACTACTATTGCGGCTACTACAACGACAGCGAGATTTAGGAACACCCCCTTTACGCCCACCACTAAGCTTTATCCAAATCACCTCCTCACGGCCGCACACATGAACACAGCCACGCACCTTCAAACAGGCGAAAAAGACAGTCGGTTCAGTTGAAGAAGCTTTCACACACACACACACACACACACACACATCCGTACTAATAAAATAGAACCTCACAGCACAATCTCAATTTCACGACGCACTAACGTACACACTCTCTGCCAGTTCCGTGCGGGGGTGGACATCTGTGGTCCTTTCAAAAAGCGGGCTACCTTACTAATGTATTCAAAAGTTGTCAAGTGAAACAGGTTGTCGGAAGATGAGTTCTGTCTTATAAGCCACAACGGGAACAAATCTTTAAAGGTTTTTTTCTTTACATTTAAAACGGATATCACCATGGATGAAGGTAAGAGCGCCACTTTATTACACCCTTTTACCTCATCCGAAGCGTGTACGCATTGGGTTGTGTACACAAATACCCTTACACACATACACACAATCACATGTGTATAGTATAACATCCGTGGATTCATATGTATGTTTTGTACGCGCGTACACGTCTTCGGCATAAACGTACGAAGAGAAGTCAAAAATCAAATGTTACTAGAAAAGTAAATCTATATCACTAGCACATAAGAAAAATATACCTTCTTCGTTATATTATATATATATATATATATATATATATATATATATATATATATATATATATATATATTCATATAAGCGAAATATTACGATCTATCTTTACAGAGATTGGAAGATGACAACGCCGGCATTGTATATTGTACAGTGTTGTGTACACAAATGATGCGTCCTTATTATTTCTAACAAAATTTTACCATTTTTCGAAATCACCGTAAAGAAGGGGAAAAAATAAATAAAAACCAGGCAACTTAATGAAGTTTGGATGAAAATCAAATATTAATTATAATTCTGGAACTCTTTAACTTCTCTGAAAATATCATTTCAATTTTTAAATGGAATTAATGATGACACTAAAAACAGATATGAACTTCAACTCCTATACGTGAATGAATACTTAATTTTGTATATTCTTATTCAATCACATCCAAAAAAATACAATATACACTATAACGATACATACATGTGTGTTTGTGTGTGTACGTGTTATCGTTTTGGTTTATTGAATCACTAATAAATTAGTTTGTTTTTTTAAAGATAGCCGATTGTTTACTAGTAAAATGTCACATTTTACGTTACAAGTCGAAAAGTAAATTGTTTATTTAAATTATGTTTTTCTTTTAAGCATTTAACTCTAAAATAACGATGGAAACATTAATTTTACACGTGTGAATTAAGATATTTTTATACCAAAGAATCTTAAGGATTTTTTTTTTCATTTAATTCATTTATCGATTAACTCCTTGATATATTTCTTAATTTTTCTAAACTCAAACATTTATAGATACATGCGGTTTTAATATAAAGCTTTTTTATTTAGCGTTCTTTTGTTTTTATCTTAATTTCTTTTAAAACATTTTCTCGGTTCGAACAACTTAGAAAGTTTGACGTAAATAAGACAGTTTAATATTTTTAATAATGCCACCATGAATGAGTTCGTTTTGTATTGTTTTTGTTTTATTTTTAAATATTTTTCATATTTCCTTATTAATTTTGGTTCTTTTTTGCTAGTGTATTTCTATATGTATTCGACATATTTTCCTGCCTCACGTTTTGTTGTTGTTGCTGTTATTATTATTATTATTATTATTATTATTATTATTATTATTATTATTATTATTATTATTTTGTCGTTTTCAAGAGAAAATAGTTAAAAATGGAAATTAGCATCTACTCAAACAAGCTGAAATTCCGTGTGTAGTTTCTATGATTAGGAACGAACAAACAATTTCCTGACATTAGAAATAATTTAAATTTAATTACGAAATTAAATTTTATTATGTACTTTTATTTAATCTGTCCCCTTTTTAATGATATTTTTTTTCTTACCTGTTGAACTTAATCGTTTTCAAAGGGCTTATTTCCGTCTTTCGTTAAACAGATTTTAACTTTAATGGCACATTTTTAGAAAGACAGAGAGAAAGACCGTAGAAGAAATGAAGACAGATATGAACAAACGTAGATAAATAGATTTACATATCCCCCCAACACACCCCGACTTCTGTTATTCATTCAAATTTATTTTCATCTAAGTTTAATACTGAACAGAAAAACCAGAATAACAGACTAAAGAGAAATCTTTATTTTTCTTCTCCATAGGTTTCCATTCTAATTTCTTGTTTTATTTCCTTCTCCTCCCCCATCGTCTCTTTTAAAACTAGTTCTCTTATCGATCATCTGAAATCCAGTTACAGTTTCACCGTTTCTCATTATAGCTCATCATTTCTTCTTGTGTTTCATTCTAATCCAATTCCAAATAGAATTTACAGTCATTTCCTAGCTGCTTATTTTTTAATAACTAAATACGTTGAGCCATTTTTATTACATCTTATGCTAAAAGGACACATACATCCTTATTCTAAATACATTACACACTTTCAAATATATAAAATTAAATCCCGACCACGACTTATTTACATACTTAGAGCCATTTTTATTTACTAGCATTTAAAACAGAATCGTAAAATCATCTGAATTCCTCAACAACTTAAAAATATTGAGTGTTTACGTATAAGTCAAAGCAACAATGTTTCCAGTAAGAATGTTGTCTTTTTTTTTTAAAGAACACGGGAACAATGTTTACCATTGATGTTTTTTGGGGTTTTTTTATTATTATCATTACTTCTGATGTTCTTCGAACTGTCTTCTCGTTTTCTATTCATTCTTGTCTTGTCATTTTAAATATTGCTACTGTTTGTGATGTGTAAAGTAGTTGGGTTTGTCAATGTATTGTGCTGCTGCTGCTATTACTCTGTGTTAGGTGACCACGCTTGCGACGCACCCAAAATGTAATGGGCACATATTACGATTGAATTGAAGTTTAAAAAAAAGAAAGAAAAATAAAGAAAAAAAAAAACTTTGTTCATCATTCTATCACGATTGTTAAACAACCACCTTATCTGACAAACTAGTTTCTTTCGTGTCCGTCTGTGTGTATCGATAGCTGAATGGATTTCTTTCAGTTCATCTGCTAGTCTTCATCCTAATTGAAATATTTAAACTAAATGATTAGCTCAACCGTTTTCTAGATCTCAAGCTATATGGATGGGGTCAGTATTCTCTCAACAGAAAGAGAAATGGAAAAACAAATCCGTATCACTGAATTTACTTAGTATGCTATTGTCAGAGGAGGGTTATATATCGCCGAGTGTTTGGGTGTGTACAAGAAGTGGCTACCCCCAAATTAACGTTTCCGAATATCTGCTATCTAGAGAGAGTAGTAGATAAACGAATTAAACAAACATAGATAAGAATATAGATAGATAGATAGGAACATGCTTAGATAGATAGATAGATAGATAGGAACATGCTTAGATAGATAGATAGATAGGAACATGCTTAGATAGATAGATAGATAGATAGGAACATGCTTAGATAGATAGAGACAAACAGAGACACTGAAAGATAGATAGAAAGCGAGAGTTAGAAATTTATATATATATATATATATATATATATATATATATATATATATATATATATATTTAATTTATATTTATGCTGTGCATGTGAACGGCTTGATATATATATATATATTTTTTATATAAAGTCGACTGTGAACTTGAGATGATTGAGAAGTGTGTTGGCGGAAAAGACAAGGAAGCAGAGCGAAAAGAATCTCAGAAAAAGCAAGCAAGACGAAAAGATCTGAGATGCAAATATATGGTCCTTGAGGTGGGCTTGTCAAGGTGGAGGTCAGCTCTATAGTCACCTACACACACAGACACACACGAAATAGAGCGAAAGAGAGGCTATCATTAAAACAGTCAGCTACTGTCTTCTTTTTTTTCTTTTTTTTTTTTTTTTTTTTTTTCTTTTTTCGATTCCACATTAGTAAATTCGTTAACTACGCTTGTACTCGTTCGTTCGGATGGAATTTCTGTTAAGTAGAGTGCAGACTCACCCTCACAATACATTACGTTTACTCTCAGTCAGTGTGAAGGTAGTCCAAGGTAAAAGTTGAAGGTGAAGGTCGAAAGAAAGTAAGCCATTTAGATTGGTTTGAAAAGCAGCTGACGAAAGCCATCGAACGCCCTTCGCTTGTATCAATTTGAGAAACGTGTTTCGACGTTTTAGTGTCTGTTTGTGTGCGCGTTGTTCTGTTTCGAGGGAAATGAAACGAGCACCTTTAGAGGACTACTAATGGTGTCTGTTTAAGTTGAATGGAAAAAGCAGTAGTCATTTTATGAATATCTGAGAGTACGAAGGGGTGTTGAAAAATTCTAAGCCCGACCAAGAAACATAAAAAATTAAATGTTTTCTCATACGGTCAAATTTGGGTAAGTGGATTGGACCAAGAATCTTTCGGCACCACCTCGTAAATGTATGTATATGAAAAAGAGTCAACTGTCTCCTTTCATATTCGGTTTTGTTACTTCTCTCATTACTTTCCTTTACTCTCACTTTTTTTTTCCAATTACCTTTCTTTCATTCTTTCTTTATTTATTTATTTTACTCTTTTCTTTTGCTTGTCTCTCTTTTTCACCTTATTTTAACGGTCTAGCTTCTCTTCTTTCCTTCGCTTTCAGATATTTTTTTTTGCTCTATTTTTTTTCTTTTTTCTTTACTATATTTTTCTTTAATCTTTCATTCACGTTCTCTCTTCTCCTTTTCCCTCCTTCTCATTTTGTCATTTCTTCTTGCTTCCGTATTTCTTTCTGTCTTTTTTTTTTGTTTTCTTAATTACCGTATTTTTTGTTTCAATTTTTTTTCTTTCTTTTCTTTTTTTTTCCTTTTCCTCCTTCTTTATTTTCCATCTTTTTCTTCATTTCCGTATTCTCCTTTCGTATCTCCTTTTTTCCTCTTTCTTTCCTTTACTATTTTTGCTTTTTCTTCTTTTTCCACCTCCTCCTCCTTCTCCTTCTTCTTCTTCTTCTTCTTCTTCTTCTTCTCCTTCTTCTTCTTCTTCTTCATCATAGTCTCCCTTCTCCTACTATCTTCCTCATTCTTCTCTTTATTCTTTCATTTTATTCTACGAATGCCCTTCACCTTTTCCATTCGTCTTTCTCGGTTTCCTTCTTTCTTAACGACTACCCTCCTTAAGAAATATTGGCGCAACACAATCTTTCTATCCCTATTTTGGCAATATATCAGGCTAATATTTGAAAAAATAAAGCATTCGGCTCCTACCGTAGCGTGATGGTGCGCTCTACTACGTCCCTCTTTCTTCCCCAATACTATATTCGCCTCTTATTTGCTATGACGTGTGACTCGCGTTTTGCTCTACAAATTACGCCCATGAAGGCTGAAACATTTCCTTTAGCACAGTCATTAACGTTTGGAATCATTTCTAGATATACTCTGTTGCTGGCCCCACTCGTGGTTGACAACAGGTGTATCAAATTTGATACTTCTGGGTGATGGTTATAGAGGAGTGGTTTGTCCATGAGCTCACTCAGCTACTGTCTACATCGCCAAACATTGTGTCATGCCAGAAACGAGACATTTTTATCAAGACTGCTGGTGATAAGACAGAACATTAGTATGTGGAGTTATGCCTTTCAAAACGATATTATTACTAAGTAAAGATAAACAGCCTCGAAGTGAATTCGGATTCGAACTCGACATATAAACAGCCTCGAAGAGAATTCGGATTCGAACTCTACATATATATATATAGATAGATATAGATATAGATATATATATATATATATATATATAGATATATATAGATAGATATATATATATATATATATATATATATATATATATATATATATATATAGATAGAGAGATAGAGAGACAGAGAATAGAATATATATATATATATATATATATATATATAGAGAGAGAGATAGATATGGATTGAGACAGATAAACGAATATATATATAGATAGATATATAGATATGGATTGAGACAGATAAACGAATATATATATATATATATATATATATATATATATATATATAGATAGATAGATATGGATTGAGACAGATAAACGAATATATATATATAGATAGATAGATAGATAGATATGGATTGAGACAGATAAACGAATATATATATATAGATAGATAGATAGATATGGATCGAGACAGATAAACGAATATATATATATATAGATAGATAGATAGATATGGATCGAGACAGATAAACGAATATATATATATATATAGATAGATAGATAGATATGGATCGAGACAGATAAACGAATATATATATAGAGAGAGAGAGAGAGATATGAAGCGAGACAGATAAACGAATATATATATATATATATATATATATATAAGGAAAGATAAACTATTATGTATAGAGAAACAGAAATATATATATATATATATATAGAGAGAGAGAGAGAAAATATATATAGAGAGAGGGAAAGAGAATTAAACGAATATATATAGAGAGAGATTTAAATATATATATATATATATATATATATATATATATATATATATATATATATATATAAAGAGAGAGAGAGAGATAAACGAATATGTACATATAGAGAGAGAAGAGAGAGAAACAGATATAGACAGTGTGGGCATAGGAATCAACACTGCATGATGACTGTCAGTTCACGCTTCATTGCGATCTTCAGCATAAGATAGCATTAGAGTGTGAAAATGACTATCTTCATACAGTGATGATTCCGGTGTCTATATCTATAAACGCTATGTCTCTAATATTGAACACTCTACACCTATAAATATAGCAAATTTTAAACAACATACATATATATATATGTGTGTGTGTGTGCGTGTCCGTGTGTATCGTAGCTGTTATCGATGCGGAGAGTAAATTTGGGCTATTGTGCTCAAATTCTGTCCGTTCGAATTCACTTTCGCACAAATACCCTTAACTAATAGCAAAGCAGACTGGTCTCCCGGGCTTTGGTTGACACCCAGTTGAGAAGACTCTAAATTCAAACTGTGATTTTAAAACCGGTTAGGCGTGTGATAGCAACTCCACCACGTGAAAACCTGCTAGCTGCGGAAACCACAGTTCCAGCACCCAGCGTGATGAAGTTGTGACCCTCTGCTCCGCAGGCAAGTCTATACGATTAGCATACATACATACAACATTTAAGTGCGTGTGTGTGTGTGCGCGAGTATATGTTTTGATATATGTATTACAGAAAAGTAAGGCCAATGGTGCATATGATGTTCTACAGAAGGATGCTGAGGATACTGTGGACCGAACATGTGAGCAACGACGAGGTTTTAGAGAAAATAGAAACAAAAAGGAAACTTATATTTAACATCAGGAAAATACAGTTGAAATTTCTAGGGATCATAATGAGGAAGGAAAGCTTGGAAAATCTGTTACGCACAGGACAGATTGAGGTTACGAGGATCAGAGGAAAGACAGCTCGCAATATACCTGATGATATTAAGTCACTTGATGCCGGAATAGGGTTTAGGAGAAATAACGAAAAGAGAGAATTTATTAAGAGCTACAAAGGACAGGAAATTGTGAAGAGCCGTGATCGCTTACGTGACAGGGCACATAAAGAAGAAGCATTATGATGTTTAAAATATAAACTTTTGAATTAAATATTAACAAAATCATCAATCTGAATTATGGTGTTTGACAATTACTTTCCAGATCTTCATCCTCAAAGCTACAGGAAGAACTATTTGACCAATGTGTATCAATGTTGTAAGAGAAGTAACACATCGCCAGTCTTTTACAACTGTGTCGTGTACACGCTGTTATATATATATATATATATATATATATATATATATATATATATATATATATATATTATTTTTGTTCTATAAACCCATAAGTGCAAGACTGACTCTTGTTAATATTGAAATAGAGAAAGAATTCCCGCTTTTTGTAAAAGGGTATTTTGCTCTTTTTTTTTTTTTTCAGGATATAACATTTTATTTTACTGATTTATTTTTCTTCGACTTATAGGTTTGTCATATTTCTAGTTATTGCTGTATTATCCCACTGTTTTCTGACCAAAGTATGACCTCAAGAAATTAATCTAAGATTTTAAAGTACCCTTTATTATATTTGCTTATTAATGTGTCTCCTTGAAAATACTGATGTGCTGTATCCACTTTCATTTAAGCACATAAAAACAGATAATCTTTTTTTATTATTGAAACATATTGCAAGCTGCAAGAGCCACTCAAGCTAGAAGGTTACTGAAAGAAGTGTATGATAAGAATGTAAGAGGAGAAAGTTATGAGAATATGGAGTATAGGTAACAGCTGGCCCTTGACTTGAAAAAGTTCAAATTTTAGCGTTCGGGGAAGCAACCATGCGGGAGTTTTCCCCACAAAGCAATGGTTTTTGTGACAGAAAGCTGTCTGGTGGAACTTCCTACTTACAATTGGAATACATGCGAAATAGAAGGGTTGGTTGGAATAAAAGGGTACTTAAATTTTTTTTAAGAATCTATTTGCTTCCGCAACAAAAAAGGAAGAGGAGGAGGGAATAAACGGAATGGTTGGAATAAACAAACACGTTTTAAACAAGTACGAAATAAAATAAACGACTTGTTTAAAAAAAAAAAACAGCGGGTAGGTTGCAAAGAATCAAAATCGAATTATCCGGAAAGACCTGTCTATTCCGAACACAAGAGTAGATAAATAGATAGATAGATAGATAGATATGAACATTAGATAGATAGATATGAACATTAGATAGATAGATAGATAGATAGATATGAACATTAGATAGATAGATATGAACATTAGATAGATAGATAGATAGATAGATATGAACATTAGATAGATAGATATGAACATTAGATAGATAGATAGATAGATAGATAGATATGAACATTAGATAGATAGATAGATAGATAGATAGATAGATATGAACATTAGATAGATAGATAGATAGATAGATATGAACATTAGATAGATATGAACATTAGATAGATAGATAGATAGATATGAACATTAGATAGATATGAACATTAGATAGATAGATAGATAGATAGATATGAACATTAGATAAATATGTAGATAGATAGATAGATATGAACATTAGATAAATAGATAGATATGAACATTAGATAGATATGTAGATAGATAGATATGAACATAGATAGATATGTAGATAGATAGATAGATAGATAGATATGAACATTAGATAGATATGTAGATAGATAGTTAGATAGATATGAACATTAGATAGATATGTAGATAGATAGTTAGATAGATATGAACATTAGATGGATATGTAGATAGATAGATATGAACATTACATAGATAGATAGACATGAACATTACATAGATAGATACATTATATAGATAGATAGATAGATAGATATGAATATTAGATAGATAGAAACATTGAAAGATAGATTGTTTATCCAGAAATATAAAATGAACCGGAGTATAAAATGTATATGTTGACGGAATCCAGATGTTAGAATAGAAGCGGGTATCTACCCACAGAAAATAGGGGCTGTAATCACATATTAAATCCCTACATCGAAAGGCTAGTATTTGTAAAGTAACAGATGAAAAAGGAGATGTTGATTTCGAACTAAAAAAAAAAACAAAAACAAAAAGAATAAAATAGAAAATGTCTGTCGTCTCATATTTTTAAATCTAATACATTATTGATTGATTATCACCGGAACCCACGTAATTAGTTAAACCAGTCTATGAAGTCGGAGATGCTGACAAAATGGCTCCATCGGATACTAAGATTTATACAGTTCAGTTCTGGTGTCATACTTGAATGACAACTGCAAGAAATAACAGTAAAAAATTTCAAAACCAGGACAAATTTATCTATTTGCAAGGTTCTCATTATCAAACTGTGCCAGTAGTGACTATTCATGTCTATGTATTGATGCTACACAATCTTTCTCTATTTATTGACTACTCACCTGATTTTTGTGAGATCTACGTTATGTGAGAGCTATAAATATCATTAACCGTTCAATATACAAACAAAAGAATATTTACTTAAACATACAAAAGTAGAGACTGAGATAAATGTAAACATAGATAGCTAGACGCAAATGGAGATAGATAGATAGATAGATAGAATTTGAGATGAATAGATAGATAGATAGATAGATAGATAGATAGATAGAATTTGAGATGAATAGATAGATAGATAGATAGATAGAATTTGAGATGAATAGATAGATAGATAGAATTTGAGATGAATAGATAGATAGATAGATAGATAGATAGAATTTTAGATGAATAAATAGATAGATAGAATTAGAGATGAATAGATAAATAGATCCAAATAGAAAGAGATTAATTGTAATTGACAACAAATAATCAAACTGAGAATTACATACATACATATATATATATATATATATATATATATATATATATATATATATATATATATATATATATATATATAGAGAGAGAGAGAGAGAGAAACAGAAACTTATATAGGAAGAAAAAAGAAGTGTGAGACACTGAGATGGATAGATACCTAGAATGATGGAAAGAAACAAATTGTGAGCGTGGTAATCGTTATTTTCTAATCTTAACTTAATCTTGGCACAAGGTTGCAAGTAGGGAGCACCCAGTAAGGACTGAAATTCCTACTCATTCGTCTTGATCACCCAGACTAGGTCATTTCACATTACCAAACGCTATTTTCGTTACCTGGAGAAATCGAAGTGTAAAACTGATGAGAAATCCATAATCAGTATTTTGTACAATTATGTACTTGTAAAACATGAAGCGATACGCTTATATAGAAACAGGCTTCCTTAAAAAAATAAACTGCACGGAGATTACATATCCAGTGAGTCTTCATTTTAATGTAGTTGTTATGTTTGGCAATACAGATATAACAGATTTATGTTACTATTTGACAGAGCGACTGCGCATCGGGAAAGGTTAAGAGAAAACAGGATCGAAAAGAAAGAACACGTGCTTGGAATCAGCAAAAAAAAAACAGTTAGAATTTCTAGACATATAATGAGGAAAGAGAGCTTGGAAAATTTGATACTCACAAGACACATTAAAGATCAGAAGACCACAGCGAGCAACACCTACCTAACTAGCTTGTCTAAATGGATGACTGTTTAAGGACTGATAGTAAGGAGATAAAAACCTTGCTTAGACCTACGAACGATAGGAAGTTGTGGAGAGCCGTGATTGCTTACGTCATGGTACATAAATTAAGAAAGCTTTAGTTTAGCAAAAACGTTTATTCACCCTCTCTACGATAGGACCCTAATGTATCAAATTAACACGCCATATGTACATAGATGAAGGCAGACACATTCTTTTAAAACACGCACACACAAGCATATTATACATGCAAATCCTGAAGCGACACATCACGTCAAAATTTTGGCCTGGTGGGGTAGTTATCGGAGAGTGATTCATTCAAATACTCTTTCACTAACTCTTTTTTCAGTCACCCATGCCAGTAATGAAAGATTTGGCCTAGAGAATCAGTAATGCACAAGGAGGAGTTGTTTCATGCCTTTGCTAATGGTATTAGGGCGAAGTGAACTCGGTTCACTGATTCCGTTTCTGATTGCTGTATACATCTCACTTCATAATACACTGTAATGTCTAACTTTTGTGTGCCAGAGTTATCTCCCTTGCACTTGAGATGCCAAGTAACGGAGTCATTTCCTTCAAACTGGCGACGCTAGGTGACAGTGTCTTTCTTATAATAATATCGAAATCTCCAACTTGTTTTCAAAGACGGGAAGTAAAAAGACCGACTCCGTGTCGAAGCAAATTGAATAATATTATTTTGAAAAATATATTCAAAATGCAGTCATTTTCATAGAAAACTATTTCAGATACCATTTGCATAAAACAACTATTCTTATGAATATGCATACGTACGTGTTCATATATATATATATATATATAATTTAAAGAAAAACAGACTACTTTAAGGCTCCATTTGTAATAATTTATTTCACCAGAGAATTTTATTTTTCTCTGGATCTTCAGACTTCACTTTCAAAAGGTGGAACGAAAAATGAATTTAAATTTTACACTTTTGACGGGCAGTATTAAGCTTATATAAGTTGACATAGAAGGTGATGAGGAATAGTGTGAGAGACATGGTCGAGTTTAGAGAGGGAAGGGAGAGTTTTAAAATTTATTTTTATATTTCTTTTTATTATAATACTTAATATTGAGGAAGGACGGTGTAAGGATCAGACACTGACCTATTTAATCGGTCAATATATATATATATATATATATATATATATATATGGGTAGCTATCCCTCTTTTATCCAAGTTTCATTGAAAACTACTGACAAGGTGCTATGTTTGAGTCTTTTTATATAATTTCTCATGTGTCCGTATTTTTTCAGGACCTTAATTACACAAAAATTGTCCGAATGTTTTTCAAGTACTTTCGGCCATACTTTTTGTCATTATCAAGGATTAAATTTTTCTTTTAGTTTTAACTGAATATATGGATTGTTTTATGCATGTATCTAGAATTATAGGAATATTTTATTTTACAACACGTTAGGCACGTTGTGGCCGTGTTCATAGTTGATATTGTTGAGTGTTGGCTTTTTCTTTTTTATTAATAATGTTTCCTTTATTTTTTTAGCCTTTTAACGTGAATCTTCTTGTTAAACATGTAGTATATTCAATATATATATATATATGTGTGTGTGTGTGTGTGTGTGTGTGTGTGTGTGTGTGTGTGTGTGTGTGTGTGTGTGTGTCTGCGTGTGTGGAGTGTCCAATAGGTCCGACAAAGTAAAACTGGCGAATGCTCTCGAAAATGACCACCAATCAGTTGTTAACTGGGGTAAGAAATTACTTTTGAGTGTTAACGCCTCCAAAATGAAACGGTTATCTTTTAGTCGTCATAGAGAACCATTTTTGCCTCCCATCGGCATAGCTAATGCTAACCTGCAGGAAAGCAACTCATTGCGCCTTCTTGGCCTCACGTTTTCCACTGGTATGAAGTGGAGTGATTGTGCTGAATCAATTGCTAGCTCGGCTGCTAGGAAAGTTGGTTCACTGTGTTGTGCCAGACAATTTTTTCTTGCCAGAATCCATCCTGCACATTTGTTCGCGTATTGAATATTGCTGCCATATCTAGTCGGGTGTTCCTGTAATATATCTAGAGTTCCTCGACCAAATCCAAAGAACGAATAGCGGTCCTATCATCTTGATTTCAGTCACTTACTCAGCACTGTAACCTACATTCCCTATGTCTTTTCTATAAATGTTTTCATGGCAATTGTTCTAATGAGTTCTTCTTGGTACCTCGACTGCATGGATATAAGAGTTCTACTAGATTGGCAATTAAGTCTCATCGTTTTCGGTTGAAATAGCTAGATGTAACCGTAAGTTCTATGCTAATAGTTTCTTCTCTCATGCTTCCCACCTGTGGAACTTTCTTGCTTCTCTGTCACCTACGATCTTCCAAGATTTAAATGTAACGTCAATCACCATCTTCTGATTCTATGAAATCTCTTATTTTATTGTCCTTTATCCTCACTTCAGTCTTCTCATTCTGACTCCTTAATGGTATTATCGCTTTGCTTGGAGTGAAATGATTTAAAAAATGTGTGGGTATGTACGTGTGTTTAAAATCGTCCTTATATGTATCAGCAGTATAAGAAAAATATCTAATACATGGCTTATTACGTATAATTACAAAAATTCAAATCTATTTATATCATTATTTAAAATTTACAAAACATAACAATTTTCAAAATAGCTTACTTCGTAAAATAATGACTTTCGACAATACTACTAATAATAATAGTAATGTTGATGAAAATATTTCTGAAAGTACAACCAATTCAAGTCTCCTGAAGAGTGGATGTAATTCTATGAAACTCAGTCGAGAAATTCAACAGCTAAGTGAACAAATCTATTTAACTCATATGCGATTTAGAATTTACTATATTTATATAACATTAGAAACATATACTAGAACATTGTTCATTATCAGAAATAGAGCGTTTATAGATATATAAAGTTTAGACATAGGAATCACCACAGCATGGTAGCCAGTGGTTTCATATCCCCATATAATATCATCACTTACTACTGGAGCGGGAAACTGCCAGTCACCATACAGTGTTGAAGGATTTTCATTTGAGAATGTACGAAAATCGTAAATACATGCAATACACACATGTAGTTAAAATATCGTATCCATAGCTACTCATCTTGTCACTTTACATAAACAATGAACTAGACATATGGGATTATTCTAGTTAAAAATGACTTCTTTAACCAGCTGTGGGGTATCACGCTGGGTAATACTTATCAAGCTAATATCACAGGCTATTTTTACGGTACTGCGTTCAATATTCAGCGGGTGCACACACCTGTGGCCTTATGCCAGACTAAGCTTAGCTTAGTAAATATCTGTAAGAAACAGCTCCAGAATCACATCAAAGCGTGGAAATATGGACAGAGACCAGTGTATTAATTTGCTTATAAAATCGTTATTAGCGTCCAAAAATGGTCTGTTATGCATATATTCAGCTATCTTGGGTATACATATTTCTTTTCTTACTGTCTAAGGATGTTAGCCTGGATTCTGGTCGAGCATCGAAGTTAAGCAACTATTACTCTGGGCATTACCGAATGAATGAACACCGAGTAAAATTATGCTGAAAAATGTCAACAGAAATACGTTTCACTTGACGAGACATTTACTGTATCTGAGCATATCTGCATGCTTTTGATTGCTGATATATACGAGGGGGTGCTGAATTTTTTAAGTAGGGTAGGAGCTTCAGATCGGGTTGAGCATTTTTCAGCATCCATTTCTATTTCTGACGACAAGGTTATTGCTGCCATTTTGGAACATTTTTTTTAATTACAAACTTCACCCCCATACAAAGCACAAGAGCCACTCAAGGTAGAGTCTTACTGTTAGAATGATGATGACTGATGGTACGTGTGGCATGAATGAAAGAAGAGATAATAAAAAGGGAATATTATGAGGATAAGGAGGCTAGATAGCGACTGACCCTTGCCTTAAAGACGTTAAGATTGTAATGCTCCGTTCTTGTCAATATATTGGCTGTCTATGATTTTACTAATATCTAGCAACGAATAAATAAATGGATATATAAAACACCTAGATTTTTGTGGGCAAGAATTGTGTACCTTTTTCTCGGTATACTTATGGAAGTAAAGGTCTGTAATATTTTTCAAAATACATATTTTATACTTACTAGTAATAGAAATCGATTTAGAATATACTGAAAGCGCTTCAAGATTTCTGTCATTAACAGATAAATAGAAAATAGATCTAAAAATTATTTAGATACTGTAAGTTGTTGAAATGCGCAAAAAGATGATTATTACCAAGTTAGGATATAAAATTAAAAATGTAGATGAGAGTTCGAATTAAGACCCTTGCTTTAAAAAAAAATACCCTTGGCTATTTATGAGAATAATTAAAACTGCATAAAGCGTGTTTATTTGACGGAGTAAATACTATCAAAAATACGGAGCTGTTAAGAGCCATGTATAGCCATGAAAAAAAATAGAGTGAATGATTATTTCTGCTTGAAAATAATCACCCAACTGTGATGGCTGTTGGTGAATCAAGAAAATTTCAAAATATTTTCGCTAAGCCGCGAACTCGGGGAATGGATTTCGTGCCGCATCTTTGAAAGAAGTGTGTGAATTTTGCATCTTAAAATGGCTTTTGCACTAATAGAAAAAGAGATGATTAGTGTTTATGATAATGTTACACACACACTAAAGTATCACGTATAAAACGTGCGTATACTATGTCAGTAATTATCAAGTAGATACAAGTATTGCTTAAACAACAATGCCGCATTTATATATCATGTAAATAATCGCCTGCGTCTTCATAATCTTGTGTATAAAAGTAATAAAGGCAGCATGTATTGTCTGTAAATACCACCATAATGATTTAATGCATGTGATAATAGCTATGCATTCATTCATTTATTTATTTATGTAAATCTATGGCGGTCCTAGACATGTTACCGTTTTAATAACGACATCTGTAGTGGCATTGTTTGAATTAAACAGACAACAGTGTGTAGTAAACGCAGAGAATAGCGTGGAGGTAAAATCTAAAACATGCGATATACTATTTACATCTATTTTTATCCTCTGATCTAGCTCAATGCGACCGTAGCCCATAAATGAAATGTACCAACGCATAAGATAGATAGATAGATAGATAGATAGATAGATAGATAGATAGATAGATAGATAGATAGATACTGTGACGGTAGTACTTCAGGCAATGTGTAAAGAATATGAGTGGTGTGTTTAAAAAAAAACTCGTACATTACCTGTTTATGGTAGTGTTGTATTACTACTGGGTGCTGTTACTACTACCTAGTGATGGTGTTGTACTCAGTTTAGGAAATGGTATTTGTGTAGCGGCAGGGTTAGAAGCAGTAAAGCATTTTCTCTAGAACATAATCAAGGAAGTGAAATATGCAATGGTATTCATGAACGACTATCTATGATAAGCATATCTAGTATATATATATATATATATATATATATATATATATATATATATATACATGTATGCACAGAGAGAGAGAGAAAGAAGGATTGCATATATATATATATAAGTAAGCATATATACGTATTTATATTTTATATAGAGATTATATATATATATATGCATGTGTTTGTATTTATACAGACACACACACACACATATATATATATATATATATAAGTGAACATTTAAGTCAACACTTAGAGTCGACAGGCTGTTTCATGCTAAACGCAATCTTTATATATATATATATATATATATAATGCATAAATATGAGCAGACGTAAACTAATAGATATGGAGAAGCTGAGAAGCTTAAACCGAATCCAAAAATAAAATATATAAATAAATACAATGTAGACATTGAAATCAACAGTGCATGAGGATTGTCAATTTTACACCTCAAATAAGAGTCTCCATGTAGTGTTGATTTCTACATTTATCCTCTCTCTATGTATGCACACACATTCACACAAACACACACACACATATATATATATATATATATATATATATATATATATATATATATATGTATGTATGTATATGATGCCCGCTAATTTGATATTGAGTATGACCAACACAAGACTTAGATGTACCTTGAATATATATACATATATATGTGTGTGTGTGTGTGTAAGAGAGAGAGAGTTATATATGTGCATATGTGTGTGTGCGTGTTTGAGAGAAAGACAGTGTGTGTTGTCATGGGAATCAACACTGCATGGTAACTGTCTGTGTCACGTTTCAATGCTGTTACCACAGTAAATATCACCACTAGCAGCGTGTAAAACTGACAGTCAACATTTAGTGCTTATTCCTATGTCCACACTTTCTATATCTATAAATGCTTTGTCTATAGCGAACTCGCTTCCCCTATTTACTTAGCAAATTTTAAACAATATCTATATTGTCAAAAAAAAGTAGACATCATAATATCGAGGGATAGTATTCGTAAGATATCTGGATTGCATCCAACTTGCAAGAATGCATTTCTGGATTTTTTATGTAATTTCCGTGATGATGTTTCTATTTGCTTCCTGTTAATAACGACTACAAATTATTCGCATTTTACCCATGTTTTTCAACGTATTTACAATATAAATTGTATTTATTGCTAAAACTCTGCAAAGTCTGATGTAGGAAGGTTTTTTTGTTTTGTTTTTTTTTTGTTTTTTTCGGGTTCATGCAAAAATCGATCTGACATTGGTGTTTGAGATTTCGCTGATCACAAGGCTACAAAAAATAATTTCAGTGAATTAACCACCTATCCCCCATTTCCTCCTCCTCCTCCTCGTAAATACTCGCGAGATTTAGAATCATTTTTTACGCACTATACACAGATCACTTTTTGAAGCGGTTAGAAATCATACATTTTCGTTGACTGATGGCATTATACACAGGTAAAAGATGAAGAAGAGACTCGAAGCACCAGAGATGTGTTTCTACAGAAGGATGCTAAGGATATCATGGACCGAGCGTGTAAGAGAGGTTGCAAGCAAGGAGGAGGCTTATACTTAATATCAGGAAGAGGCACTGAAGTTTCTGGGACACATAATGAGGAAGGAGGGCTTAAAGAATCTGATACTCACGAGTCGAAGATACGGAAATAGAGACAAGGGAAAACAACGTGTGACATAATCTGGTGGACTTAAGAAAGTGGATGACAGAACGTGGTCTGGGGGCGGGGAAGCAGAGGGAAGGGACTTGTTGAGACCTGCAAGGGAGGTGGAGTACCATGATCGCCTACGTCCTGAAAAGACATGGCACATAAAAAGAAAGAAAATTCTTTTTTGTAGTGGTTAAAATTTTGGCAAGAAAATTCAGGAATCGCATTATATATGAAGTCGACTTATACATGAGTATATATGGTATCCAATTGCTAATTTTATCGTGAGAGGGGGGCAATTATCCAGATAACAACTAACCTCACCGAATCTGCACATTCGTAACATTCTGACAGGTTAAAGTGGCTTGAGTGGTTCTTGTGTCTTAAACATCAGTTAAAAATATAAACTGTATATTTAATGTTACATCTCTACGTGAATGTTGAATGTTTGTGATAAACATTTTTAAAATGTTTGTTGTAAAACACGAGGCGATCGACTTCTGTTTGTGCTTTTCGATTATACAAAAATGAATTTGGCATCTTGAGATATAGCTTAGATGTTAGCAAGCCTATATACGTAATAAATGAATGCGTTATATATGTTTGTATACAATAACATTCATACAGGCAAAAACAGATGGAAACTATATATCTGTGTGTGGATTAAGAATGTTTCTGTAAATAATTGTATCAACCTATGCTACGTTGTCTATATTATCGAATATAAGCGAAGTAAATATTGGTTTCGTCTTATGTAAATCTGATGATATAGTCTCCTTTTTATCTATCTGCTTATATATATAAATATATATTCAGCTAAACACGTTTTTATTTCTCTGTTAATCTATGAATGCCTGTATCTTTGGATAAACCTGTAAGGGAGTTCCACTCAGGAAACCACCTGCAAAGATGTTTCCATGAACACTTCATTCTTAATCTCTTCGAGATAAGAGTCAATCCTTATTTATCTGCCATATACTCGTAATCTTTACTTCCTACTTTCCACTCTTATGTTCACTGCACACACATCATTCAGTAACCCTCTACCTTGACTGACTCTTTTGGCTTGTGTTGAGAAAACTTTAGTAAAAACAAAATTTTTTTTTAAATTAAGAACGTTCGTTTGTAAATTTATACCATTTACATCTTCGGTCTGATGAGATTTACTGGTCGAAATAAATCATAATCTATTACCGTATTTTCTTGATGTCTTAAGCTTTTCCTTCATACATATCATATTGCTATGTAGTATATACATCGTGATCTCTACGAATCTATATTTTTAATATTTTATATTAAAAAAAAACACTTGCATTATCCTTTCCATTTACGGATTTGGTATTCTCTCTCTCTCTCTCTCTCTCTCTCTCTATATATATATATATATATATATATATATATATATATATATATATATGTGTGTGTGTGTGTGTGTGTGTGAAGAAATGTAGTTTTAAGATGTGCTATATTTATGGGATAAAGTGCTCAATGTCAGAAATAGTGAGTATGTAAATATAAAAATTAATATTGAAGTCAACACTCAGAGGCGACAGGCTCTTTCATGCTAGACGCGGCCTAAAGATTGCGTCTAGCATGAAACAGCCTGTTGCCTCTGAGGGATGATTTCAATGTTCACTTTTATTTATATATATATATATATATATATATATATATATATGAATTACTGCATGCGTATATTGAATGTCATCCATTCCTGTTGCTCAATGAGGGCAATGGACACCCATGAGAATTGAGTTCTAGTGTTCAAAAATCCTCCTGTCATCTGGATCAATCTCCATATTGCACCAAGAGGGGTTAGATCAGGGCATGTGCTCATCCTTGGAGATGCAGTATAAAAGAGGCAGTTCTGGAAGACTCGCCATACTGCTTTGTTTCGTTAGCTGGATACCCCGCATTGAAACGAGTCCCTCGCGCGCGCGCACACACACACAAACATATATATATATATATTTCCAAAAGGATAGAATCCAGATAGAGTTGAATGTCCAGGTCAGAGTAAGAATGTAATATAAAAGGTTCAAACACTAATATTCCATGGTAATAATTTATTACATTGGAATCGTAATCACAATCCAGTCCATTAGACCTACAAATTAAATGATGAATTGGAAAGTGATTACTATTCCAGTGTAATAAATTATGACCATGGAATATTTGTGTTTGAACATTTTATATTATATATCTATATCTATCTATCTATCTATATCTATATCTATATCTATATATATATATATATATGTGTGTGTGTGTGTGTGTGTGTGTGCGTGTACATAAATATATAAGCCTATATGTATGTGTGTGTGTGCATATATATATATATAATTATATATATATGCACACACACACACATACATATATATATATATATATATATATATATATATATATATATGGCGTCCCAAAAATAACGATTTCAATGAAATCTGGCAAATTTGTTTAAAATTAACACAATTTTATACTTATTGCTTTATTATGAAACAAAACAAATAGCTTTATAAATCTTACGTCAAAACTTTACTGAAAATTTTCAACATGTGCTCCGTCTGTATCCCTGTAAACTTCACATCTATCCTTGGTGTTGCGAAACACATTTTGAAGCATTTCACGAAATTATCTTCTGCACTGCTAACTGATGCGTTCTTTAAGCTCAGCTAAAGTATTGATCTTTTGGCAATAAAGATTTGTTTTTATGAAATCCCATGCAAAGAAACCCAGTTCAATAAAAATGCGTTCTTGTGTATTCATTATTAATAAGGTCCTGAAATGGAATGAAAATCAAATTAGAAAAATATTATAAACATTATCAGAAACTTATGCACTTCTAACACGTATTAAATATGATGAAAAGAAATAAAAGTTATTTTTTTAAATGGTCCGATTTCAGTGAAATAGTTAATTGTTCTCAAGCTACTGCAAGACCCAGTTGTTTCCAAATGTCTTTATGGCATAAAGAATAAAATAACTTACTCTGCCATGCTGACCTATAAAATGTTTCCTCACCAAAGCAAGAAAACCCAGTCCGTCCTACTATTTTACCCATAGCTAGCAGGGTTAAGATACATAGGGGTCACCACACTAGGTTTTACGACATGGAGTTATCTATCCACGCCAAACCGGTTTGAATTCAGGAGCTGTTGTTCTCCTAGA